GAAAAGGACAAACAAAAAAAAAAAAAAAAAACAGCCTCACACAAAAATGAACTCTTATACATTTTAGTGATTCTCATGCAAAAAAATTGAATTTGTTTTAGTTCATAGTACTTAAGCATTTGAGTCCAACACGTGGGAATTTCAACCACTAACTCCTTTGGTCAAGAGTATATGTCTTAATTAGTTGAGTTATGCTTAGGTTGATATGATGCTTAAGCTATTAAGATACAATATTTTATGTCGGAAGTATTCTTGATAGCCAAGCTAACATATCAATTTTCTTAATGGTTGAACATCTTAACAAAAAATTGGAAATTTAAAGACAATATTTTATATGTATTTCATTCTCAAAGCACCCACACATGTGCGACACCTATTTGACACATGCCCTAATATCTGTAACATGGACAGTTACACCATCACACAGAAGAAACTAGTTCAAAGAAAATCAATTGGCCAACGGATTTTCACGTTAATCATTAATTTTATATTTAGAAAAGAAAAGGGCATGCAAGACCTCACCACATCAACAATATTTTCACTAAAACTAAGTTTCTCATCTCTAGGCCAGTCGATTCTGTGAAGAGAATTTGTTGCGCAATGGGCGCCAGTGTTCACAGAAGAGTGTGCAGATAAAAATACAAGTGACTTTCCATCTGGGCTGGAAGACATTAACATTCATAAATCAGTTCCGATGCTACTGCTCATCTTTTGCGTTAGTGAATAGACATGCCAATAAAATAGAGGTTCCATGATAATCGATGAACAATAAGAGTCATTAGAAAAATTGATCGATGGGAAGTATGTACACATCAAATAAAATGGTCTAAATTGATGCCATAAGCATGAAATACCCTCTAAAGCAACAATATAGATGTAATTAAAAAGAGGAATATGATTAAATGACTTACAGCCTTAACCTGTTATTTAACTCAACAGCCTTAACCTGTTATTTATCTATTAAAACACGCTTGATATTCCCTAATGTAACAAATATAATTTTTAAAATCACAACACAAAAAAAGTTGCGTCATGCTCACTAGGGTTGTAAAGAGTTCTGGAACTAGAAACGCATGCAAACAGTTGAACAGAAATAGAGTACGATTTTAGCCTCCGCTCATTATATATATCAAAGTGGCCTGTAGCCACTTATATTTTTCATTCAAATTTGAAGAAGAATTTACAGAAGTTAAGTTATAAGGTACTGTATTAGATGTGGATGCTAGTAAAAAAGAGGAAAAAGAAGAATAATTTAAGCAAACAAACAACAGAAGGCAATGAGATAAAAATGTACCTGAACCGAGGAGAGAAGGCACTGCTTATGTTCTGAGTTAGATTATAGATGGGAAAATCCTCTTTTGCTTCATCTCTGGACAACATTGAAAGATTTAGAATGTTCCGACTGAAATGATATTAGAAAAAACCCATCATCAGGAGAAGAGAAAATGTATAACGCACTTGAGTTTATGTTCATTGACTTCTGATCCAAACTCCGGGGCCTTAACTGCATATAATGCACAAGGCCGATTATAACAGTAGATCATACCAAGTTTTCGAGGCTCTGGTGACCATCCAACAAAAACCAAATATTGATGCTCGCCAATAGATGGAGCCCATACAACTTGACCCAAACTCAAAGAATGCTCAATTATTTTCACATGCTTTACCTCTCCACTGTTAAAGAACAAAAAAAAAAAAATACTTAACGAAGTTTTCAAAATTTAAAAATGTACCTTATTTTGTCAATATGAATACAGGAAACAGTTGAACCACACCTGTCAATATTGATGACAAAGAGAGCAGGCTGCCTTTTACCTGCATAAGCTTCCCCCCATTCTTCCTTAAAATCACCTTGACCTTTCCAATTGGTAGAATCCTTATCTGTTGAGCAACCTTTTTGATATCCAGAAAGAGTAAACGTTGGTTTGGAGGGAGAAGGTTCCTCCGCAATATAAGCAATGTAAGTTTCATTTGAGTTCCAAGAGATTCCCTCGAACCTATAATATAAAAAGAAAATAGAAATTCACATCTAGTGGTCAATGATCCTGAGATACAAACTATTTACGAAAAACAACCAGCCATATACCATTATAACTCAGTTCTTGCAACTTCTGATATTACAGATGCTATAGAGCCACTCACCGAGAAAATTAGTACATGTTGATGAATAACTTCTATCCAAGGAAGTGTAAATAAAGAATATCGCTTTTTTTTTCTCTCCTTTATTTTAAGAGACAAGAATGTGAAAATGATAATTACAAAGTCTACGTTGATTTAACATAAAATTCACAATTAAAAAAATGTATAACCGAGTCATTACCATCCATCAGTATATATTGAGCCATGAACAGATTGGGGGATGTGAAACTCCTTTTCAAGTTGACCTGCACTCCAAATTTCCAATTGAACTGGAGAATCATTTTCAGGATTACGAACTGCAAGAAATTTTGAGCCTGCTGGCGATGGCACTATTGTAGAGACTCCAATCATTTCAACAGGGAATGGCGTCCATTTAAAGTTTACTTCACTGTCGTCATTTCCATTGGAAATGTGAGCTGACAAAGTATATTTTCTCTTCTTATTTGCTAGAAGATTTGCTTGGCTAATTGAAAACGTTACCACGGAGTCTCCTGTTAAAAATGTCGGGTTGAAATAGAACTAACATGGCCAGGCACATAACTTTGTGACAAAAGGCACAACCGCACACATGTGGAAAATGAACTAGCAAAAACAATAGAAATCATACCACTATCAGACTTAAACGTCCATGCCTTATCAAAGTTAGGAATTTTTGTGAATTCTTCAAGTAATTTGGACTGTTCTACATATTCTTCCTCAGTTGCTGGATCAATCCCAGATGGAAATTCCTCAACAACTGCACTTATCTTTGAACCATCCATGGCCAAGGCAGTTGACAGTTTTCTACTGCAACATTAATTCCGCAAACAATGATGACAATGTTAAAGAAAATAATAAAGAAGTTGTAACCAACCAAGATAGGCACACGAATCACTGATTTACCAAATTTTCAGATTCTATAAAATTGACACACCCGACTTCTTTCTTTCTCTGCCCTACAAGTTCATCAATCAGTGAATTACATGTGCATTTTACAAAACTGACCGAATATAGTAGAATCACTTAGTAAATTCGTTGAAACTTGGCATGGTATCAATGCTTTTATCTACAAGACCAATCAACCCCTTACAAAAATAAAACCATGCGAACTTCCTTCTAGTCGAACCTCAAAAGACCCACAGCTCACATTCTTAACCATTCAACCAATGCTCAAACAAACTGAATTACATCAACATTTCAGATTGTAATTTGTAATTAGCATCTATAACAATTCTGAGGGTAACATTTCATCACCTTCTCAACTTATACCAGATTGATCAATAGCTTCAAACACAAGCTCGATTAAATTATCGGTCAGCTAGAATATCAGATTTTTTACAGCAGAACATCCGTTTTCAACCATTATTTTCCCATCCATATCTGATAATTGAATTTTTTTTACATAACTACATTAGTAATGACAACCGATCAATCAAAGTGGACATGCAAAGCAAATTCATTGAAACTACACCAAATAAAAGTCAACAATAACTCAACAATGGATCGAGGTTTAACCACCAGAGAGCAGTAATTCGACGGCAATTTGACGGCAAAAGGCAACGTAGCGATAAGAAATGAGAGAGAGGGAGCTTACGAGAAGAGGCAGGTGGCTCTGAGAAATTGAGAGCTCTGAGAATGAGGAGCAGGAGCAGTAACAGCAGTGACGAAGAGGGGAAGACGAAGGAAGTTGATCCGACCAATGGAGTAGGTGCCAGCCAACGCCATCAGATTAAGATTCCACCGCCGCAAATTTTTTTGTTTTTTTTTTTTTTTTATTAGTAATAAGCCCACTTTCAATAGGCCCACTATAATAATGGGCTTGATCCGTCTTTCACTGACCAATTTTAATTCCTAGCCCAAAATAAAAAGCCCGGAATTGGCCCAACGTCCTTTTATTAAAAAAAAAAAAAAAAAATCTCTACTAATTTATCTAGTAAGTTTTTTTTTTTTTTTTTTATTTATATGAAGAGGGTAATTGTTTTCCCCTCATTGTCTTTAAATTTTTTAACTCTAATTTTCCCACCTAAAATCTTCAAATATGAAACATTATACATGTATTACTTTTTCCTTCCCGATAAGAAAATTACAATTCTACCCCTATTTGAAAGAAGATGACAAGTAACACTTTTTTTTTCGAATTTTAATGAATTGGTAACGTAGTTCGTGGAGAGAATGCTAATCAAGGAGAATATCATACATTTTTTTTAAATCATAATAAGGTCACGAGAGCAGACAATATCATATCATTGTGAAAATTCATTATTCCTCTGAGCCTCGAAGGTGTAGCCCATAATGAAGATCCGTGGTATAGAGAAATAGTGCTAGATGTCACAGTCATGCTCGTCGCCATATGCCCATGTCATGACAAATCTTTTATTTGATTTCATGTTGTACTGTCTAACTATAGGGAGATGCGACTAGTTGTTAATTTTTTCAACCTTTCAAACTTTATTTCAACCTTGCTTTCAAATTCTCTTTAAAAGATCTCTGTGACCGGTTTTCCAAAACGTCCTTCTCAAGATGGGATTAGAAGCTTGTAGGTACGCTCTGGCAATGCGAATCCAAATTGGCTTGACTTACTTGATGTTGAGAATAAATGGTGCACAATCAACTGAATAGTATATTTTGTTCGAGAATGTTGGATGATGAAAGTCCCACATCGGTTAATTTAGGGAATGGTCATGGGTTTATAATCTAAGAATACTCTCCATTGGTATGAGGCCTTTTGGGGAAGCCCAAAGCAAAGTCATGAGAGCTTATGCTCAAAGTGGACAATATCATACCATTGTAGAGAGTCGTGTTCGTCTAACATGGTATCAGAGTCATGCTCTAAACTTAGCCGTGTCAATAGATTGGCAAATCCTTAAATGTCGAACAAAGGACTCCAAAAGGAGGCTCTCCTCGAAGGTACGAAGGCAGTCAAAAATGACTAAGACTCCAAAGGAGTCGAGCCTCGATTAAGGGGAGGCGTGTTTTGTTCGAGGGGAGGTGTTGGATGATGAAAGTCCCACATCGGTTAATTTAGGGAATGGTCATGGGTTTATAATCTAAGAATACGAATACTCTCCATTGTTATGACAATATCATACCATTGTGGAGAGTCGTGTTCGTCTAACAGAGAATATAAGGATGCAGAGGTAAAAGGATAAAAAGACACAAAACATTAGGCGATTAGAGACAATAAAGAATGAAAAGGTTGTTGGCCCCAAAAGCAGCAACAGGAGGAGACAACAACAAAAGTTCAATCAATTGCATTCAAAAGCAAGTGGCTCACTCCCATCAATCAAATACTCATTTCGGTTCCCAATATTGACTCTCCTCCTAAAGGAATCAATCATTTTTTCTTAGACTAATTTGCCCCTTCTTTTCTTTTAATATTTCTTTCTTCTCTATTTTAAATAAATATAAATTTTAAATTTTTTAAAATTACAAACATTATTGGTTTTAATATGGTTTTTTTGTAAAATAACTATTTTTTTTTAAAAAAATTAATTCTCTAAAAAATAAATAGAGAATCTCGGGAGAGAGAAATGAAATAGGTGATGGAGATGGCTTCTCCGTCCCTTATCTCATTTTAAAATTTTATAAAGGTTAATTCATCCTTCCAATAAATAAATATAAAAATGCTATCAAATTAAAATTTTAAAAATTAAATTTTTCTTAAAAAGATATTTATAATAATTTATACGATAAAAAAGATTACCAAGAAAATAAATTAAATAATTAAGACAAAGACTAACCACACAATAATATTATATTCAAACAAACGCCGTAATCATCAAGCAAACATTAATTTATTCGAAAATGAAGAGTCTTCGGTATATAATAATTACAATTTCATTACCGCAACAAAATTTATTCTACAAAAAATTCATCGAATTCTCACCAAAAAAGAAAAAAAAAAAAAAAGTATTTACTCCGGCGAGAGTTCATTTTCCGTCGCCGGAAAGTTTCCCCGACGGATCAGATTTTCTTTTCCGAGAAACCAAACAGAAATTTTCCCGAGAAAATCAAACTTTTTTTTCCAGAAAGCCTTGCTGGGATTGATTTTTCATACATCACAACCGTCCGATCCTTTCATGATTCTCATCCTCTTACAAGATGAAATGAACATTCTGTAATTTCATGAAACAGAGCAAAAATTATAAAAAAATTCGCAATAGAGATTTAAAAAATTTGAAGAACATTAGAACTTAGAACTTACTGCCATGGAACATCGCCGACGAGCATCCAATCCCCGTCTTTATCTTCATATGTTAGCGAAAAATCAAATCCCTTATACCCTTCCCTCTCAGAGTACTGACCTGTAAATCCAAATTTCATTACCTTAGAACATTATTTCATCTCAGAAATCATTTAAAAGTTGAAGAGCTTCCGGAGTTTTCTTACCGATGGTGAACTTGAACATGTCTTCCAAGGCCTTGAGAAGTTCTGGGTAGCCTTTGTAAAGACCCAAATCGATCTTCCTCAAATAAGGAGCGCCATCCATACTCACTTTCACGAAGAATCCTCCGCCGTAGTCCGCCACCGTCGCTGTCGCCGGTTTCTTCATCTGAAGAGTATTTTTCCGGAAAGATCTAACCGGCGGCCAGCCAACAACCTGAGCCCTGCAAAACCCACATCAGAAAACACAAATTGAGAACAGAAAACACAAACACAAAGCAAATAACACAAAGATTTTGACGAATCATCACTCACTTTGGGGGAGGAGCAGAGTCATTCTGTAAAATTCTCTTGTTATTAGTTCTAAGCCCGGGTGAGTTCTCCGGGGAGTCGTCTGTTTCAGTGGCGATTCCGGGAAGTCCGAGACGAAGCTCGGTGGCTTCGAGGTTGAGATCGCTCTGAAACGCAGGCTTGGATTCCATTTGTTTCTGGGTTTGGGAAGGAGGAAGAAGAAGAGAAAAGGGGTTTTTGCTGGTTTGTTCTTCCGGTGAGGAGTGAAATCTTATAGATAAGGAGGCGAGGAAAACAGGGGATTGGGATAGGATTGTCGGTGGAAAAGGGGGCAGAGTGAGGGCAAAGGGAAGACGGAGGGAGGGGACAGAGGAGGGACAAGAAAAGCCGCCCAGATGGAAGAGAAAGGGAAGAAATTTAGTGGTTGTGGGAACGCAAATCGGGAGCGGAGCGTAGATATTAAGGGACAAACAATGCCATGTGATGTGGGGGCCGCCAATTCTCATCACGCCCATGCGCCCCATTGCCATTCAAGTTGGGTGTGCCCGTGTATGCCTTTACCTTTGAGCCTTTGAACGTGTGGGTTGTGGTTGTACGGTGTGTGACCCCATAACCCTACCAAACTATAACCACCCGAACAAACTCTCAACTAGAGTCATAATATCTATTAGCAGTGAGCTTAAGCTATTACAAATGATATTATCAATTTCTGAACGGTCTGTCAACGAGAACGTTGGCCCCCGAGGAGGATGGATTGTGAGATCCCACATTGATTGAATAGGGGAACAAAAACATTCGTTATAAGGACGTGGAAACCTCTCCCTATCCTGATATGTTATAAAATCGTGAGACTAACACCAGTACGTAACAGACCAAAGTTAACACTATCTGTTAGCGATGGGCTTGGGTTATTAAAAATAGTATCAAAACTAGACACTGGACGATGCGAGGCACTAATCGGAGTAAGGCTATACCTCTCTATATTAGATGCGTTGTGATGACGATACCTACCAGGCCAAAGTGGACAATTTCCTCTATTTATAACTTGACACTGTCAACATTTTGAAAATAAACTAGTACTTTAGTGTTGCTTCATTTGTAATTTTTATTTCGAGAGAAGGGTAAATTTGTAATTGACTAAACAAAGAAAAATGTCTAGAGTTGACCATGTCAAAAATAGTATGGACTAACTAGGGTTACTTTTGATAAATGGGAAAGGTATAAAAATAACCAAACAAATATGGATTTGGGAGGGACAAAAAAATGAGTAACTATTTTAATCCATAAACAAATTTAATAATAGTTATATTAATTTCATATTATATTATATAATAGGCTAAATTCAAAGTATTTAGACTCAAATGGAACCGAAACAAAGTAGAGTATCAAAACGTCAAGTCGAAAGCCTAAACGAGCCTTGAACTATATAAGCTCTATGATGAAGTATCTATAGAGCCCACCAAGTCGTCGAACAAGGATAAGGTTGAGGTTGGCCAGTTTGTACACTTTCGATACAATAAAATAAAAAGTTCATAGGGCACCATATTAAGAGCCCAAACTATGTGATTGAGCTACGAAATCACCCCAATAACACCTTCGATATCCAAGGATCGCGGACTGATCGTAAAATCTTATTTAATAACTGGAATACATTAGCTATCAGCATGATAGAATAGCGATTAGGAAAGGAAATTGAGAACTTAAAGAGATTAAATTAGAAGAATAATAGCAGAAACTTCTAGATCATCTAATTGATGTATACGTCATTTCAAATACATAACTTAAATTATTTCAATAATATGAAATGATGCGTCATCTTAAGAATTTTTTAATTATATGAACTAAATCATTATACATTTTGAATTATAAGGACAAAATTGTTATATAACAAAATTGGTGGACTAGAGCGTGACCATGTTTACGAGCATAGCGAGAATGGAGAAGACAAAAATGTTCATTTGATTTCACGAGATTAGAGTGAAGATTTTCTATGGAGAATTTGTTGGAATTGAATTACCGGTTTAAACAATAAATCTCTCTCTGCTCCATCATCCATTCTCTTCCTT